GTCTTTAAGCAATATGGATGTCTTATTTTATAGGGCCATAAAAATAAGAAGCTACTAAAATAGCCCCCAGATAGCCATAAGTGCTTATATACTACTAAATAGGTTAACGATAAAGTTCTTAAATCATGTGACCATATAACAAATTGATGAATATATCTACATTTTCTATGGAATCATGTGCTCTTTGATTAATTCGGGCATACGTAATCTGGACAATAAAACGTGAAATGTTGTTTAGGAATATAGTACTTCTATAATACTTGTACTGATGCTTGAATTTTTCATAGCTTTTCAATCTTAAGCAAAGCATCACTGGACTCGAAGTCATCAGATGTCCTCCTGGTACAACTGCAGCTGTCATGGTAGGAGAGCCACAGGCTTGTCTCGTTTTAGTCACTACTCCTAGCCAGCTATACCAGTTTTCTGGTTGGCTTCATCCTCCCTCCACTACAGGCAACGTTAGTGTCATCTCAGGAGCCTTAACTGAGTCCGGGGCCTCTGGCCATATAAGTGGTGCTACCGGCATAGACAATATAGCCGACCTTACCTCCATGGGTGGAACTATTGGCAATTCATCCCCAGGTACAGGATCTCTTGGTTTTACCTCTTCTGGTCCTGTGTCTACTACTGCCTCTGGCGCACTTGGCTCAACTATTGGAGCCTCGGGCGGTGTTGCCTCAGCAATTGGTTCCGCCCTGTCTGGCGTGAGTACAGCCGTTGATTCTGGTGTTATAGGTTGCAGTGGGGGGGTTGGCATATTTGCACCCATATTTGCACCGTATCTGCGTTCAACAGAGGGTGAGTTCAAAAATTTAACATTTATATCATTTTGCCAAGTGAACCTTCTTGACTCTCTGATAAAAAATTCTTTAAAATTTGACATTGTGCATAATTGTCAACTGGTAGGCTCTAATCCCATATCATTGATTATTAAATCTGCTAAATTCGGAAAATATTTATATTTTATATTGACTTATATAAGAACCTTAAATTCCAGCGTTTCGTTTGCCCTGTTCTATTTCTTTTCTATTATTGCTTGTTTATAAGGTATTTTTGGTGCATTGCATCCTCTTCAATGAATAATTTGACGTTTCTATATATTTGAAATTTGTCCTTTGTGGCCGCACATAAAAAAATCCAATTATCTCACTTTCTCAAAGGCGTTTAAGGTTTCTGCCACATTTAACAAGTTCCTTCAGTAAGTTAGTTGCCAACTCTTTGTTGCCTATTTTATGTTTTATTAGAGTTAGAGGATTTCATAAATCTTTAGCAAAGCTGATTTTGGGCGTTTACGGCCTTAGTTATGATAAATTTACATGATTTTGGTTACATTTAAGTTTACTTAGGTGTATATTCTCTAGGAACATCCTGTTACTTCTATGAATAAATCTCTCTTTATGAATCTCCCAACTTATTTATATTCTGTTTACCCTTTATTCTTATTTCCTTTTTTACAGAGTTAAAATTCATAGAGTTTCCCAGGAATTATGGCTACAGCGAGTTAAAATGCTTTTTGGCTGATGGTGATAC